GGAATAAATTCTAAATGACAAGTTGTTAAAATAATTTATGTAACGATGGATGATTTTGTAGCTTTCCAAGCACCGACTTGAGCCTGTGTCCCACGTTCTGGGAGTACACAACACAGGAAACCAAGCTCTGGGGTGCTTACTATACAAGTTTTCGATGGCCACTGATAACACCAGGTTTTCTTCTCATCTGTCCTCTTCTAACAGCAGAAACAACAAAATCTCTTCTAGCTGACTTTAGTTAGTTGGGTTTCAGGTTTTAATATATAAAACCTGAATCCGTTCATCCGTTCATCCCTCTGAACGGATTTTTCTCTCCAAATCTGGAGCAAGAAATAAATTGTTACATATATATTCACTAAGAAAGCAGCTCGAAGAGGCTGAGCATGATGGCCCGTAAGACCAAGGCACCGGCACCCACTTGTGAGTGGTGAGATCCCGAGGCTGGAGGAAGATTCTAGAATAAAGTGCTCATTAGCGAGCCATACCTCTTCTCCCGTCTCCTTACCTCTCTACACCTCCCCCTTCCTATCCATTCGAAATGTTTTTAGCAACACACCATACTGAGAATCACCCACACTGTGCGATTCTCTTTGTGGAAAACTAAACAGCACAAAAACTGTGGTTTTCTAGCTCATGCGTCTGGATGGTAAATAATTCAAAGTAAGCTGGTAGGAGTAGGCAAGAGAGATTTAATCCTCTATATGAAAAAGGGCTTTTATATAAGTGAGTAGAGGAACCTTTAAGAATTATTCATGTTTAAATATATGCACCAGAATGCTATGCCCCTTGTCAAATAGGCTTCAAATCAGCAAAAATGATAATATTTTACTTACATAAGTTTTTTAGTCCCTCTGTTAACATTTTGGAATACATCATTTTAACACACATCTGCAAATTTGTAAAGCAATCACTTCGTGTGAGACAATGAATGCTTCAAAAGGCAACAAAAGAACATTTACAATTTTCCAACATGAGTTTCCCTCACGTTTGGATAAGGATGCAAATTCAACTCTGTAATAAATTACAGTGCATTGTAAAGATTAAATGCACTCAAGGATTGCGTTCTCTCCTTCCTCCACCCTACCCTACACACAGCTGCCCGACTAATCCTCCAAAAACACCAATTTTCATATGCTGCTTTTCAAAACTAGCTTCCTGGCTTCCCGTTGCCTGAAAAAACAGTCTCAAATGCTTTCGTCTGGCATTCAAGGCTCTCTGTGATGTGCACCCTGGCAAACGTGTCGCTCTGCTCATTTCTTCCACCATGCACAAGTGGGCTAGTTATTTAGAGACCCATCTCCCCACTGACCCAGCAAAGGTCTCGAGCGTCTCCTAGACTGACGGACTCACCCAGTGATGTTCTGAAAGGCCATTACTGGGCCACATGCCAACTGCTGGAGTCAGGAGTCAGGGTGAAGTTGCCACCGCCTAACCACATGGACTGAAAGTGGGAACGGTGATTCTCCGGAAGAAAACTGGGGCATTGTTATGAGAAGTCAGATGGCAAAACCACCAAGGTCCCCTACGACTGCCTTAACGCACCCTGGACACAATTTAAGGAGACAAGTGAATGTATTAACTCCCATTTAGGCCTCTTCCACCACATGCAATTCCACAAGGCTGTGTCAAGCAAATGCAACCGAGGGAGGCATTGTTTCATTCTGGAACAAAAGGAGCCTCTGATAGCCCCCAATCCATGCACTATCCTTACAGCTCTAGCCACTTTTATATAGATCAGACCCTGTCCAGGAGCCCAATTGCTGGGTTCATTTATATACAATGCACATACCCCCAAGAATATAACATTTTATCTCAGATTGCATAAATTTAAATAACACTTAATGAAGATGGTGTAAAATGAACAAAAACAACATATTCTGTGATGAATCAAATGAAACACATTTTGAGTTCTTGTTTTCCCCATTTAAAGATAACATTTTTGATAACTCATTATCTGTGAAAAGACACAAGACCAACAGTTTTTTTGTGTGGTTGTTCCCCCCCCCCCCACTTAAGGCTGTAGCCATATTGTCACAAATTTGCCTGGAAGCTTTCATGGCAAATTGTCATTTTGAGGGTAGACAACACCCAGCCAAATGGCTTCATACATCATCAGTGCCTTTCTCCCACACACACTCTCTTCCTGGTTTAAACATTCGTTACCCTGGTTCTACAGTGAAACAGTTTTTGCAAATCTCTCCTGTCCCTAAACTCCTAAAAGTTGGGGACTTCTCACTTTGGTTTCTCCAGGGCTTGACATTTTGTTTGGTGCTGGGGGGGCAATAGGCCGTTCAAAAAGTATGTTAATGCTATCACTCAATGCATCGATCCATGCTATGCACCAACGCTGTAATAAATATCAGTTCATTTCTTGTAACAAAGGCAGTAGGAACATCTCCCAATGGAAGAAATTCCAAGGACAGAATGAAGGCAGGAAGGGAACTGGTATATTTGTACCTACTATGTGAGAGACACTGGTTTAGGTATTTTTATATACACATTATTCCACTGAACTGTCACAATCCTGCAAATTCTTCATATAAACATTTGGGTTTATATGAAGCAAGTTTAGCAAGCAACCCAAACTCACAGTGACAGGCCCATGAGTCAAATCCAGCATGCTTGACTCCATGATTACCAAGCCCACTATCTCCATTTATCATGATTCTGAGATTCATGAGTATGTAGGTGCTATCCGGAAACGTCAAAAATGCCCACTTTAGGGACGCCTGGGTGGCTCAGTCGGTTAATCGGCTACCTTCGGGTCAGGTCATGATTCCAGGGTGTTGGGATCGAGTCCTGCATCGGGCTCCCTGCTCACTGGGGAGTCTGCTTCCCACTCTGACACTCCCCCTGCTTGTGCTGACAAATGAATAAATAAAATCTTTAAAACAAAATCTTCTAAAAAATGCCCATTTTTAAAGAGTGTTTTAAAACACTATTTAGACAGCAATAGAAGCAAAAGCAGAATGACAATGTAACAGGAAATGGTTTAAATGGGAACCCTTTGGGAACTCTGGTGGATGAGTGTGTTTAAATTAATTTTTCATAAACTGCAAAAAAAACACCTCCCATTTGTAGTGTACACAAAGCACGTGGCAACAATAAAGATAATGATGGGTTATGGTTGCAATTCATAGAAAAGGAGGTTCAGGGAAACTGAATGAAAGGGAATAGGAATAATAACCTAGGTCCATAGTCAACCTTCCTTGTAAAAAAATTAACCCGAAAGTGCATTTCTGCCACCTCTCTCCTGTTTGATGTAATAAAGAATGGCCATGATACATGAATTATAGTTCAGGGTTTTGAAAAGCAAAGCAGCTTTATAGCAACCCCTGAACTTCTGTTGCTGTCAAGATAGCTCAATTTGATATGCGGTTCCTGACAACCAACTTCAGAAATAATTCCATCTTCATGAGAAGTCAGAAGAACCACAAACCAAACCTCAGAATAGATTCGAAGAGAAAATACTCTTTTTTTTTTTAAAGATTTTATTTATTTATTCGAGAGAGAGAGAATGAGAGATAGAGAGCATGAGAGGGGGGAGGGTCAGAGGGAGAAGCAGACTCCCTGCCGAGCAGGGAGCCTGATGTGGGACTGGATCCCGGGACTCCAGGATCATGACCTGAGCCGAAGGCAGTCGCTTAACCAACTGAGCCACCCAGGCGCCCCGAAGAGAAAATACTCTTAAAAAAATTTTCCCTTCCTAGCAGAAGCAGACCAAAGGGAAGTTTATCCTCCCACTAACAAATTCCCCCCGAAAGGCTCCATTTAAGGTTGTACCCTCTTCAGACACCCAGCAGGACCCTCTTCTTTGAGCCTGGCATTTTCTTCCATGGCCTATTCCAGAGAATAAGACATAAACCAGAGAGCGCTATGGGCCTCAGGACGATGAAACATGATGAAAGGCACAAAGCAAGCCTCTGGTGACCAAGAGGTTATGTAGACATTTGCTGCTCTTCTGCATTTTTCGAAGCTGAGTATTTAGCTGCAGGCTGCTCCTTTACGATAAATTGCTGCTACCGTCTACTAAAAGCTATTATATTATCTCTTACAAACCATTTCCCATCTTTCCATTCTCGTGGGCCAAGGCAGACATGGATTATTTAAAATCCTTAAGACACTGCTATTCAATTTAAATTGCCTGTAACCTTTGTGTAATAGATTTATGATTGATGATAGGTTTAGTTAAAACAGAACTATTTTAAATATATTCTTGGTAAACGATCCCAATCTGTGCTCCCTTAAGGACCGGTGCATAATCCCTTTTCAATTAAACCGTAGTGCTTTGCTTTTAAGGACCAATGCCGCATTTCCGAGAGAACCCCGAGCTCTTTTTCTAGAATGGCCGTACGGGTGTGTATCTTTTCACTCCCTTTGTGCAGCACCTACCCTGGAGGTCATGTAATAACCAATGACAAAAATCCAGATCGAAGTTACTCGCGTGTGCCACCCTGCCTGAAGGCGAGGAGACGGTTTAAATAGCAGATCGCGGGCACGCATCCCAGCCCAGGCCGCGTTGCGAGAGCTGCGCCCGGGCCTCGGGCGCGATTAGGGAGCCCCCAAAGCGACACGAGCCTGCCGCCAGGTTTTAGGGCTGCTCCCTTCCTCGCAGCCAGTCCGGGACAGCACTCGCGTGGGCCGCGCGGCGACACCGGCTCGCGGAGCCTGGGCGCGGGGCAGGAAGGACGCCCGCTGCCGGCGACGCTAGGGGCCCTCGGGGGCCCCCCTCCCCGCGCCTCGGGAGGGAGGGAGGAGGGAGGAGGGAGGAGGGAGGCGGGAGGCGGCGGCGCGGAGAAGGGGCTTTGCTAATTGCCGAAGCAGGAAGTGAGCACGAGGACGCGGCGGAGAGTCTGGGAGGAGGTGGAGGTGCTGGAGGAGGAGGGGCGCGTCGCAACTGCAGGAGCCGCCGGAGCTGCCCTCCCTGGCCTCCCGCTCTCCAGCCCCGATCCCGAGGCCGCGCAGCCCCGCTCGGGCGCCCGTCTGCCCCACCCCGCCCCATGGCTTCTCCGGACGACCCTCTGCGCGCAGGTAAAGTGACACCGCGCCGCGCCCTCCCCAGGAGCGGGAACCGCGGGCCGCGAGCTGGCGGGGCTGGCGGGGCTGTCGGGGCCCAGCCTCCCGCGAGCCCCGGGACGATCCCCGGGACGACTCCCGGACGCTGCGCCTCACCCGGGGTCGCGCCGGGTCGGGCGGGGGACGGCGGCGGCGCCGGGGCCCCGAGGACGCGGCGCGAGGTCCCCCCGCCCCACCCCGCAAGCGGGCGCTCTGGCCCCCATCCTGCGGCACCCGCGCGCGTGCCGAGGACGCTCCTTCCCTCGTCCCACGCTGTGGCCCCGTCGCTTTTGTTCTGGACTCGGGATCCCAGGTTGAAACGAGTCCCTCAAACCTCTCTGGCAGCCCAGAGCGCAAGGAGTGATCTTCATTTTTTCCTCCCTGGCTCTTCCTTCCTCCCCACTCACATGCCTTCCCAGGTCTCCTTTTCTCTCGTTTTCACTTTTACTAAATGGTTTTGTTCCGTGTATTGACCTCAGAGCTATTTCGTAAATTAGTATACACGAAAGCGAGAGCCGGATCCCACCTGTGGGATCCCACCTGTAGAGGCCTTTAATTAGAGTGGTCTCTAGTTCTAGCCTTAATTTAAAACACTGTGTGTACCTGAGGACGGAGTCTAGATTTTTCTTTCATCTCTTACTTGAATTTGAAATCCTCCTCAGACTTCACCTTCCGGGATTTCTCGGTCCTTGCTCTCCCACAATTTTGGCCGGGATCCGCCACGACAGTTGAACACAGGAATGAATGAATGATGTATTCCCCAGAGCACACTGGGGCTTTTTCTTGTTTTGCTGAGGTTGGAAAGGCTAGGGAGAGAACCATACATACCCATATAGAACTGCAGGTAACTGCTTAGATAAACGTGTTTCCTATTTTATTGCTTGGGCTTGAGCGGGGCTTGAACATTCCACCATTAATCTGTGGCTTGAGCAATTAGGAGGAGACGGTATCTGGAGGTGAGTCAGAAGACAGCTGAATTGGCATCGTGGTATGCTGGGTTTGGGAGAGTTTCCTGGAGATTCTAAAGAAAGATCTAAATTCCTCAAATGGGAGATGGAAAATAAATTGGATATCCTTCCCCCCCCATACCCATTATTTGGGAAAACAGAAAGGGAAGTGAAGAGAGAAATCCTCCCACTGATCCCCACTCACCTCCACATCCACCTCCTCTTCCAAGAGCCTAATGGATGAAGTGCCAAGAAGTGTTGGGCCTGATTTTACCAACAGTGATCTCAGATCTCACTCAAGGATTATGGTGAAAGGCATTCAGAAAGATCTTGGGGATACAGGTATCCATTGAATGAGGACAAGGGTGAAGTCCGCTTGGGCCCCTAAAAATTAATGGCACCAGAGAAGACGAGGCTCAGAAACTACAGCTTAATAGTGATACAATGTGTAAAAAGTTTCAGTGAGTTATAGTGTGAAGAGACCACCAGGGCGGCTAATACAGTCTTAGATGACCTCATGTAACAGCACTACAGGATCTAGATTTCCCATGATGGTGTTCTTGGTCAGCCCGGCCCTGCCAAAATGGATACTCACAACCTGGAACAAAAGGTCTTGGAAATCCCGGCACGTGAGGCGTGAACAGAGGATAGAATGATAGGAGGGTGTCCTTCGGAAGGAATCTGTCTCCTTGACTGAATTTAAGAGGAAGAACCCAAATCTGTAGGTGAAATCTTTCTGGCTACAAAGAGGGGCGAGGCGTCCTAAGGTAGAGGTCTCCTTGTCACTTGGAAAGATGTCGAAGAAAAAATTCAGACATCTCAAAGAGGTCCTCATGTGCATCCATTCCCACTCTGGAATTCTATCAATAAGGTGCCGGTTCCTCCAGTTTAAAAAAAAAGATCTAAAATGATTTCCCTTTCTCATGTAATTTCTGTAACCTCCGGGACACACCCACCTACCCCTTCCAGCGCTGTAATGAAGCTACAGATGGTACCAATTTGTGGAACTTGTTAAAGGCCATTGTCACATGTACACCCCCGACCAAGTTCCCGTGCACCCTCTCCTGATTTCCTACACTCACCATCTGGTGTGTTTACACCGGCACTTGCCTTTTACCAGCCCCTTCGCCAAAAGGCAGCCAGAGTGACCTTTCAAAGACATATCAGTTCCTGTCATTTGTCTCCTTAGAAACCTGCATCGGTTTTCTAACAGGGTCTCAGTCCTCAAAAGGTGTCCAGAGTCCTCACATCTGGCTCTCCCTACCCTCCAACTGACTGATGCCTGTTCTGCCCCTGCCTCTCTGCCCTTCAATCACACTGCCTCCTTTTTCCTCTGAGAGCCCTTGTCCCCCCCTGCCTCCGAGCCTTTGCACAGGTGATTCTCATTGCTGGGAAGAGCCCCCCCCCCGCCTTCATCTCCTTCCCCTCCCCACTCCAGTTACCTCCTACTTATTCTTCAGACTTGAGCTCACAAGCCCCATGCAGTCTCCATGCACCCTGTTCTTTCCTTTCTAGCACTGGCCTCCGTTTCTCGGTGTGGTTATGTCCCTGATGTCTCTCCCCAGCTAGCCTCGAAAGCTCTCGGACGGGGCGCGCGTCCCTTTAGCTAGAACACCTGACACAGTGCTCGGCACGTAGTAAGCCCGGGTGAACTCCCTACTGCCTCACCAAGTGGGTGAAAGAATTTACAAATTTCACCCCATACGCTTCAAACTGTGGGCAGAAAAAGCTTTTCTTGGATTGACATTTTAGAAACGTATTCCTCAAGTTAGATGTGTTCCCTGACTTCACCTTGTAAGGTTAAAAAAAGACGTTTGTATCTCCACATGCATCTAACGAAGGCGTGTACGTGCTATTAGACCACGTTATGAGCTTCACGGAAAGAGCTTTGTACACTAAGAAAATGTGTAAGACTGTTGAGGTCACATAGAAGGAAAATAGTCATGCGGGTTGCAGCATTTCTATCTTACTCTATCTCCGGCGCTAATAAAAATCTAACACGGGATGAGTCAGAACCGTCTGTCGGAGGTGAATAAAATCTGGCTCACATTCATACAGACGTGAAAGCCAGGAACGAAGAAAGAGGCTTTGAAAGCCTGCGTTGAGGGGGAGGTGCGATTCGCTGCAAGAGCTGAGTGCCCAGGGCCACTGGCATGTGGGCATGTGTCCTTCCTTTGTTCTGGGGTCCCTTTTGCACCGCGTGGCACGGCTGGTGGCTGGGAGCAGCTCGGGACGGTGCTGGGTGGCATCTTACCTCTCCCAGCCCTCCTGTGGGCTCAGGTGGGTCCCAGGTGGCGGCCTGCCCTCCTGGCAAAGCCCAGTAGCACTGGGAGCATTTAGAAACCAGGACCGGAGAGTGAGCGCCGTGTTTGACAAGCCGGACCAGCCAGCTCTTCTTCAGAGGCACCGGGAACCATGGCATGCTGTAGCTCTCCCTTTTCCCTCTCCCCTTCCCTGGCCCCTCTTTAGCTCTGTCCCCTCTGTAGGCATGAGCCTGACTACACACTGAATGCCTGGCCACCCTCCAGGGAAGTCACTCTTAGGTGGGCACCCTCCTGAGCCCCTGGTTCTTCCTCCGCTTGTTCAGCCCCTGCTCTGAGGTCGACAGAGCGGGGCTGCTGCGGAATCAGGGAGGAGGAGAGATGAATCCTGCGTCCACACCACCACCCAGCATTGCTGCTCTAAGAGCTTTTTTTTTTTTTAAGATTTTATTTATTTATTTATTTATTTGAGAGAGAGAGAGAGAGAGAGAAACAGCATGAGAGGGGAGAGGGTCTGAGGGAGAAGCAGGCTCCCCGCTGAGCAGGGAGCCTGACGTGGGACTCGATCCCAGGACCCTGGGATCATGACCTGAGCCGAAGGCAGACGCTTAACGACTGAGCCACCCAGGCGCCCTGAGGCTCTAAGAGCTTTCAGAGTCCCGGATAGGGTTAGGACTCTGGGGCTTCTTCAGACCCAGGAATGAAAACAGCTGTAGGTCAAAAGAAAAGCTATCGCACACACACACAAAAATAATAATCACGAATGAAAAATAAGTTAACTCTGAAAGCCCAAGTTTGAAGAATTGCCTTGAATTCGTCACTAGAAAGCACCCAAGGCCTCACTCTCTTGGCTCTGGGTGCCCCGGGAAGGGGGGCAGGAAGCTCTGACACGCTCCCCTCTTTGTTGGCTCCCAAAGAACATCCTCAGAGGCCGCCTTTGAACTTCCTCGGAGAAACTGTCTCTCGGAACTGTTGGCCCTCGGCTGCTGGGACTAATGAAGGGAGATGTCAGGAAGGAACAGCGCAGCCGTTGGGCAGCTCACCGGGGGCTGTGTTGCAAAATGTGAGTTGTTGCTTCTGAAGAAGCTGTGGGATGAAGTCGGCGGTTCTGATTCTACGGGTGAGATTTGGGTCTTCGAGTGGATGAGAACGGCTGAGATTTTTGGACTCCGAGTCGATGCTGGAAAGACTAGTGCTTCGGGGGACGTTGGGTGAAGGTATTTGGCACATGGGAAGGACATGAATTTGGGGGGCCAGAGAGTGGGCTGTTATGCACTGCATTTCCCCCTGAAACCTGGTTGCCATCCTAACTCCGGTACCTCAGAATGGGACCTTATTTGGAACTAGAGTCTATACAGATGCAGTCAAGTTACAATGAGGTCATTAGAGTGGGCCCTTAATCTCCTATAACTGACATCCTCGTGACAAGGGAAAACCTGGACAGAGAGATTTCCCCCACTGTCAGTGATGGTCAGTGCATGAACTTCTAGAACCTCTGAAAGTAGTGGAAAACAGGCACAGGCTGGGCACTAGGTAAGTGGGAGCTCTAGTGGGATTTCAGACCAAGGTGCTGTGGACCTTGGCTTCCTATGTCCTAGTGACGTTAGCCTGAAGATGCTCTTTTGCCCCTGGGGGCCCTGCTTCTCACCACTCACAGACCTTTAGAGCTGGAAGGACGTGTGGAGGCTCTCTGTTCACCCGTGAATATTACAGACTAGGGACAGAGAAACAAGTGATCGTGCAGCCTGCCTACCTCGCTGGCTCTCACGTTCGGTCTCCAAGAGCAAGGCCAGGTGCCCTCTCCAAGGGCCATGCTGCGTGAGCTCACCCTGGGCCTCTCTCATGCCTTTTGAGAACTCTCCAGAGATGTTTGTATAAATTAAACACCATCCTCGCTGCCACCAGTGAGATCCTTTTTGGTCAGTTGCCAGCTAATTTGGGGAGGTCTGTGCCTTGCTTAGAGTCACCGATCCAGGAGAGGCGAGATGGCTTTGGGAGGAGGGGACTGCCCGGGACACCAGAGCAACAGCCAAGAGCTAGAGGAAGGTCCCCGTGCCGCCCTGGCCTGAGCTCCCATGGTCCCCCTTTCTGTTTCGGCCCCTCCTGTGCCTCACGTCTCAACTGATATCAGAGCCTTGCCTGCCCCGCCCCCCGCCCCGCTATTCCCTGGGGCCTGTAAAAATAAACCTTTTAATGCTTCCGAATAAACGATTTGATTTCAGACTTAAAAATATTGTAACCGTGCAGCTCCAAGAAATGCTCAGAAGTGCTTTAGGACAACTTCCTACCTCCAGGCCAGTATCAGATAACCAGGGTCAGCCCTCCTCCAAATAATCTCTTCGGTACACAGCCATCCGGGCCTTGCAAACAAGGTCAGTTGGGTGCAAACCACAAGGACTTCCCAGGCAGAAGAAGGCACAGGGTCAGGGCAGAGCACGTCGGGCACCACGGGAGCCTGGGTCTATGAGCGAACCTGGCAACGACGCGCCTGGAAGAACCTTCTCCACGGTCTGATCCACATCAGAGGCTCAGCGAATGTGATCAAAAGCCCTGAAGGTGCCTCCACGGCTGGTTCCGAGCCCGTTGCCTTTCCCGACTGCCCTTTCGCCTTGTGGCCATGCCTCAGAAAATGAGAAACCTAAATTCGTTGTGCCCTTCCCATCGTAAGTGCCATCTATTCTCAGGGATTTCAGACCAAAGCAAGAGACTCTGGGCCTCCAGACAGGTGCTGTCATCGGCCTGGCCCTTCCCGTTCGCCTCCCAGCCTCCGGAGACATGCTCAGGTGCAACCCAGAGCGGGGTCAGGGTCTGAGGGGAGTGGATTGGGTGCCCACGCCCGGCCTGACCAGAACATCCATCTCCTGGGCCCCCTGACTGCAGGTCACAGGGGAAGGAGACTGAGGCAGCAAGCACTTAGGTCATCCAAGGTCACACCCCTGGACTTGTTCAAGGCCAGACCGCTGCTCAGCGGTGGCATGGCTGGGAGAGCCAAGGCCTTCTGCACCCAAGCCCAGTCTGCCTTCCCTGTCACTGTGCTGTCGGCATCCTCACTGCCCCTTTTGGTGTAATTCTGCCTTTCCCAGCCATGTCCTCCATTTCCTTCCTCTCATGCTAATTTGTCTGTAGGAAACAGAACTAACTTGTCATAGATACAGTGGGTTGTATCTGCACAGATCCTTTTGAGGGTCGTTTAGAAACCACCTCCCCTTGGGCGCCTGGGTGGCTCAGTTGGTTAAGCGACTGCCTTCGGCTCAGGTCGTGATCCTGGAGTCCCGGGATCGAGTCCCGCATCGGGCTCCCTGCTCAGCGGGGAATCTGCGTCTCCCTCTGACCCTCTTCCCTCTCGTGCTCTCTGTCTCTCATTCTCTCTCTCTCAAATAAAAATAAATAAAATCTTTAAAAAAAAAAAAAAAAACCACCTCCCCGCCCCCCGACACACACCCCAGCTCCCCAGGTCCTGCACAGCCCATGGACCCGAAATTCCATCGTTGGTACCTGCTAGTATACATACCGCACCCCTGATGGGGGGCATGTTTTTAAGTATTATCTCCAGCTCCACTCTAGTGAAGATGGAATTGTTGGGGCAAGGCTGTGATAGGAGGGGCAGGAGGAAGGAACTTGAGGTGGCGTCTACCACCCTCTCCCCAGCCAGGAACCAGAGCGAGAAGGATGGAAAGGAAAAACTCAAAAACCAAACTTGGTGAGTCTGGCTGGACATATCTGGAGTACACTAATACGTCGTGTCGTTTCTCATCTCTCGGCCTTTGCCCATGCTGTTCCCTCTACCTATGATGCTTGTCCCTCCCCTTCTCCTGGCTCACTTCAGCGCATCCTTCCAGGCTCAGCTGTCAGCACCCCTGCAGGCTCTTCTGTCCCGCTGCTCCCCGCCCACGCACCCAAGGCTGGGCACGGACTCCTCCTCTTGTTTCCATATCATTCTGCGCTTCCGTTACTGAACACTGAGTGCTCTGCTGTCTAAGTGCCTATTACTTGGGCTGCAGAAGTCCTGTGAACTTGGAGTGGAATTAGCACCACAAGTGGCTCTTAATTTCTTTACATGGATTTAAATCCATGTTCAGGTCTTTATTCTACTGGGCTGCCAGGAAATTCCATCTTTAGTCCGAATGGGGGCCCTGGGCCCCTCCTTAGCATCACACGGGAATCCGAGAGGATGTGGTGCCGGGCGAACGAGGGTGTCATCTTGGTAGGCATCAATACCCTCGGGGTCTGAGCCTTAAAAGACCCTTGAGATCCAGCAGCCCTCTGCATCTGTACCAGGCACAAATCATGGGTTTCTTTGCTAGGGCGGGGAAGTCCCCTTTGTGCATCCCCTGATGTGGCCTTGCTACCTCTGGGCCCTGCCAGGGACCGGGGCACAGTCCCACTCCTGTGGCTGCAGATGTCTACCCCCCCACTCCATGGGAGGACGCTAGCAGAAGGCTGTCTCCATTCGTCCCCACTCCTCTGGGCCACTAATCTCTCCAGTGACTAGGCTGTCATAAAACAAACAGATGGATGTTCCCTTCACACTGCTTCTCCTTTGGGCATTGTCAACACCTGCCGGGCAAAGATCTGTGACAAGCCCAGACACATTCTAGAAGGGAGACATCGAGGGAGAACAAACACAAATTAATATATCAGTAAATCATCTTGATATGCTCGTTTTGATCCCCAAAGACATGTCCTGGGCCTGGTACCTGGTCCACAGTGTATACTTAATTCTTGGCTGGTTTAAGGCTTCCACTTAGGGTTTCTTGGGTTTCTTAGGTTGTGCACTGCACAAATCTAGAGGGCCCCACTCAAATGGATTTGGTTCTTTATTAACATAGTTCTCTGGCAGATGTCTGGGCAAGTGTCTTGGAGTGGCAGGGCTCTTTTCTGCTTCGAATAATTTCTTCAGATCTAGTGGTGGCCTCCACCGAGGCCTATACGTTTTTCTGTTTTTCCTCATTCAATTTCTTAAATGCAACACGTGGTAAATAAGAAGCAAAATCTTGGGAAGTCAAAATCACTTTTTGTTAGATAATGATCCTGGGAGGTTGCTGACTTTATTAAATTACCTAAACCACAGCCAGAAGCTTAATATTTTTAACTGATTTTAAAAAGCATTACAGAAGAGTGGGAAACATGGAGAGAAGGAGAAATCAGGATCGTGTCATCCCTGCTCAGAGTTATAATCAAATTATACCAAAGAGTCCTGGGTACCATGTTTGCATCATCCACGGTTATCTATAACTCCGAGTGTCTGTAGATCTCTACAGGTAAACTGTTCAAAGTGTGGTGTTTTTTTTTTTTTAAATAAAGCTTGTCTTAATCTCTTTCTTGGTGCCATCTGACCCCATTCTTTCCTGTTTCGTTTCTAGTAAATGGTTGAAAATACGTTCTTCTCAAGCCTGACTAGGGTAGCTTGCATCATTATGAAGACAGTTCTCAAAGGACACGTCTCTTAAAGAAAATACTCTCCATTTGTTTTTGTTTTGTTTTGTTTTGTTTTTTTTACAGATCATATGGCAAAGGAGCCGGTGGAAGACACGGACCCTAGCACTTTATCCTTTAACGTGGTAGGTTATAATCTTTACATCAGTGGTGACAACTCTTGTTAATCCTTTTTTCCCTTTGTTACATTTTTATTGCTCAGTATTTACACGAAGATCAGAAACCTCGAAGTAAGGTTTTCCCAAGATAAATGTCTTTATCACAGTGTTCTCTGTGATGTAATAAACTTTGGGTTTCTCAGGGCTAAAAATGGTATTAGATTCTGTTCTTGTGATCTTCTTAGATTATATCAGGTCTTTGTATAGTTGTCTATTTTAAATACTTATCTGGCTCCTTTTAACTTCCTCTTCTTCAAAATGCAAAATATTTACTGTGAGATGAAGGAAACAACAGGACTACTGTACAGTTAACTGGGGGCTACCCATTGGCTAGCTGGGCACACACTGTTTGGTTCACATGTGCAACAACCCCGTAAGGCAAGCTCTGCCCATTTCACGGATGAACAGCTGAGACACAGGGGTTGGGGTCAGGGGCCCACCTTGGAAGCAGCCCTGGCGGGATGCAGACCCAGTAGCTGGCTTCAGGTCCCTGCCCTGCCCTCCCAGAACCAGTCTGTGGCGTGTCTGCTGCTGAAGGTTTACCAAGGATTTCACATACATCGTCTTCATCCTCCAAGGAATCGCTGAGATGGTAGGACAGCCACCCCATTCTACAGATGAAGCGATGAATGTTGACAGATTTGTATAAAATCACCCAGATGGGAGCCCTGCTCTCCGATGTGGTACCGCCTCTTGCTTATGACCAGATCCATGCCTCTGGCAACATCACATGTGTTATTATGCATATAGGGTGTGACATACTCCTTTAAAAAAAAAAAAAAGTGTTTGGAGGAGAGGAACCGCCCAGTCCACGAAAAATTCTGATTAACTAATTTAGTTAGAATGACATAAAATACACACAACAATATCATTAGACAATATAATTCGATGAAACATGAAACATCCTGAAGTCTTTGGTGATTCACGAGGCACCTCAGGGTCTTGAAGACCTGAGGTGTTTGTCCTTATGTCTCGAGTCCCCACTGCACATTTTGCTATGGGACAGCGTGGGGGACAAAGCTGGACGCATGGTGGAAGTCAGTATGGAAACATCCCCTGTCCCTGCATTCCAGAAAGACAGAACGTGGGCCGGCCCTGCGGCTGTCGCTCACCATTCCGCGTGCTGTAGCCCCGAACGAGAACCTTCGGCGCTAGAAGGTGCGCTCCGTTTGTCCTCCTGGTCCCCTTCCCCAGCACCCAGCCCGCGCTGCTCTGAGACTCCCACCCGCTCTCTTGCCAACATCAGGTTCTCCTTCCCTCTCGCCTAGGGTCACGGCCTCCCCCTGCTCACTTCTCCGTGCCAGGGCACACGGTGATTTCCCCCAAACACTCCCGGGGTCAGTTTGCTGGGGCTGCCACAACCAAGGACCACGCAGCGGGTGACCTAAGTGCCCCGCCACGTCTGCAGGTTGGGAAGGCCAGGGCCCTTCTCCTCCCTCCGAAATCGATGGGGAAGCATCCTTTCTCACCCCTGCTGGTCTGTGTGGTGGTCGGTAACCCCAGGTGGTTGTCAGCGTTCAGCTGCCTCCCTCCAGTGTGCCCTCGCTGCCTTGGCACGTGGCCGGATTCTCCCCGTGGGTCTGCATCTCTGTGTCTCTTCTCTTGTAAGGAGAACAGTCCTGTTGACTCGAGGCTCCAGTCTACTCCAGTATAATCTCATCTTCTCTAGTCCTCTCTCTGAGTCTGTAGTGACCCTGTTTCCAAATGAGGTCACATTTGGAGGGACCAGGGGTTAGGACTTTAACAGATCTTTTTGGGAGGACGCATGTCAGCCCATGACATTGCAGGTGCTCCTGGGATGAAGCCTATACTCCTCAGCGTGGCAGATGAGGTCATCCATGACCTCATCTCGGCACCCCTCCTGATGAGCCAGTTGAGTGCAGCTGTTTGCTGCTCCTGAAACACCCCACGCCTTCTCACCTTCCAGGGATGCTAACACTGTTCTGTCCAGTGAGGAAAATCTCCCAGCTTCCTCACCTAAGGAACTCCTGTGCTTCCCCCGCCGTGACGCTTTCTTTGCCTCACCCTGGGGCCTTGGGGGGCTCCTTTCTCCACAACCCAAGCCCTACTTTTTATCACACTGTGCTGGAATTATTTGCTTGTGTGAGTTCCTGCAAGACTGTATTGAATGTCTTCCCATATTCAATGCTGGGCACAAAGCAAAGTTTGATGGTCCAAGCTTCCAAGAACCTGGAATGGCACCCACCCAAATCTTTTCACCTTGCTTCCAGAATCTTCCATGTAAACTGGCTCCCTCATTTCCTATCCACCCCTGCCCCTCTCCAGCGTGCATCTCTGCTTCTACACCTGTCACCCTTCACACCACCTGGACTTGCTCCTCTGTGTCCACCATGCTCCTTCCTCTTGGTCACCCGAGTTCATGGGCATTCTCCACGCCTAGCTCAAATGTCAGTCCTTCCAGGAAACCTGGATTTGCTCCAGCCTGTTGGGCCCTTCATGTAGACTTCTGGTAGATGCTTATTTAGCACTGAGTCAAAGTGTGGGTTTGCAAAGATCATAGTTCCTTTTTTTGAAGAACTCGGAGTTTATCTGAGGAAACAGGCAAGTCCGTACTTTAAAAACAGCCTGGGGGCGCCTGGGTGGCTCAGTCGTTGGGCGCCGGCCTTCCGCTCGGGTCGGGATCCCAGGGTCCTGGGATCAAGCCCCGCATCGGGCTCCCTGCTCGGCGGGAGGCCTGCTTCTCCCTCTCCCGCTCCCCCTGCTTGTGTTCCCTCTCTCACTGTCTCTCTCTGTCAAATAAATAAAATCTTTAAAAAAACAAACAAAACAAAACAAACAGCCTGAGAAGTGTTATAGTACAGGTGTGTTTTCCGTGCTCTGGGGAACAGACTATCTAGAAGAATTTAGTCTCAGGGAGAATTTGACTTAAGTTCTCCATGACTGATGATTGATTGATTGTGTTCTTCTGTGGAAGAGGAGTTCGAGGCTTCTAGAGGTTTGGAAACGTCACTGTTCAGCTCCAAAGAAACTGCAGGGAAGGAGTTTTAAAGCAAAATCCTCGGTTCCACAGTTGTTTCTTTTTCTCCTCTGTCAGAGGAAGACATGCGTGAGACCTACAGGCAATTTGGAAGGTGCAGCCTTTTTTTTTTTTAAGGCTGGAGGGCGTGGCCGCGAAGGCCCAGATGGGGAGTGGGAGCTGAGCAGGGGTTAGGGGACAGGAGAGGGAGACGGCACATTCCCGCTCCTCTCATGGAAGTCAAAGTTTAATCGGAAGTCAAAGTTTAATCGGAAGTCAAAGTTTAATCGGAAGTCAAAGTTTAATCGGAAGTCAAAGTTTCCAGAATACCTGCATGGAGGCACCAAGAAAGAAATATGTGATTGCAAGAGCCTTTGCTATTTTGAATTCCCTCCCATGGTACTGTCTCCATCCAGTGCACTGAGGAACTGTGTATAATTATACATGATGAGTAGATCTTTGTAGATCTTTGTGCAGTCGGTAGGCTGGTTGGCTTTTGAATCCTGTCCTAGTCAACCCAGAACAGAGCTCTACAAGAGTGAGTACTCCCTGGTCCACAGGCTTGTTGACCCAAAGGAATGCCACAGAAATGGAGACGAGAAATGGGTCTATCCCCATAATTCACAAAAACAAATGCTCCTCAGTTTTAAACTACAGGAAATGGGGGGAGGGGGTGCAGGGGTAGCACCTCAGAAAAGAGAGGAAGTGTGGTTTAGCCGTCAGAGCTGAGGAAGTTTAGAAGGCTTATTCTGTCTCATATTCCAACATTAACTTCTTGTCAACCTTGATTTCATTTTTATAGGCCGAGGATAAAAATGAGCAATGGGTCAGGCCTGTTGATAAATCCAAGGCTAGAAAACTTGCAAGGTTTTAAACTAAAATTATGACTTTCCCCAAACAAAGCTTTCTTTTCACTTTGCTCTTATAACTGAGCTATGGGGTTTAAAAATAACTCTCTTCTTTTGTTGGTTTCCACAGTCAGACAAATATCCCATTCAAGATACGGGACTCCCTAAAGGTATGTACACTTAATATAACTACTTGAACTTGTGATTATTTTAAGATCTTGAACAAAGCACTAGTCAAAGTCATCTCTTGTTACTTAAAGTTGTTAAACAGAAAACAGACTGACAATTTAGCTTTTGACTTGTTGATTATCTCAGGCATGGATTTTCTTATTAAAGTCTATAAATTATTTCATTACAAATTATACATTCAATCCCTGTGGTGTTTTTAAGTTGCATAAAGTGAAGAGAGCCAGGACTCTGGGTTGCAAGTGACAGAAACCTAACTCAAGCTCATTTTAAAAAGGGAGGGGAGACATACTGGCTTCGGGTCTTTGGACATTGGAAGGATGCTCTCAGGCTCAGTCTCTCTGTGTCTCTGATTGGCTCTGTCTTCATCTGTGTTGGCTCCATTTTGCGGCAGGCTTTCCCTTCATGGTGGGAAAGATGGTCACCTATACCTCCAGCTCTATGCGGTGCCCGTCAAGGTGGTGCCCCCCCCCCCAGCGCCCACAGCACAGTTCTAGGGATGACAGTCATTCGGGGAGTTTGGGTCACGTGGCCATCCGTGAATCAGTTGCTGCCATCAGGAGGATGGAGGACATTGGTCAAGTCTACGCCTTGAGGTTGGGTGGGGGACGGCACAGAGTTAGTTCCATGCAAACCACAGGAAGGAGGCTTCTGTTACTAGACAGAGGGGCAAAGGATGCTTGTCAGGCCCTAAAGTGAAAAGCAAAAACAAAACAAAAACCCAAAACCCCCAAAAAACCTATCTTTTGTAATTCACGGACTAATGTTTTAGCCATGGCATAGACATGGCTAGGCATAGCCTCTCGTAATTTCTTCTGTGGGGCAGTCTGCAGAGCCATGTCTGTTGTGGAGGCTTTCTGGCTGCCCTCCTGGAGCATTTCCCCTGTGTTCTGCTGACAAGCCAGAGAGGGAGGGGTGGACGGACGGGGTGGGGGACCATCCGATCTGATCAGCTTCAGAGATGGCAGGGGCCCCCAGGTTCCTGGAGAGGTACGACTTCCCAGCACCCGCTAATGTGGGTTTTCCAGGCAGTCCTTGTGATAGGGTAGTCCTAGGGTCACCTGACTGGAGGGTGGGGAGGGAGCTCCCCGCCAGGGTCCACCTGAGGTTAAGTGCAGGGTTCTGCCAAGGCTCCCCTCCCTCCAGTCCTTACTCGCCAGACTCTTCTCCTTACACCCAGAAATTACACCACTAGCGTTTCATTCCTTTTGCCCCCTGTGCGTGCCCTGGGAGCGGCAGTGATGTAGGGAAAAGAGACTAAAGGCCAGGTTTGAGTCCAAATCCTGGCTGTGCTCGGGGAGGCTTCTGCCAAGCTCCCTTCCTCCTTTCCCCTGTTGGTGAACGACTCTAAGTGTCCTGAATCCTCCAGTCTGTGATTCGATTCTCTAGTTCAGCCAGGAGGTAGAAGATGCAAGCCAGGCGACCAGGGACAGATGGGAGGCAGTCTCAGGTGGTGTTCCTTAGGCTTCAGTGTGCAGTGAAGAATTATCGTGGGTGGGGGTGGGGGGGGAGCTGTTTAAAATCCAGATTCTGGGCCCAGCTGCTCTGGAATCATGATGTGGTAGGTCTGGGGCCAGGCCCAGGAACCTGTGTGTAAATGCATACCTGAGTGGTTGGGAGGCAGACCTCACTTTAACCTAAAAAGCTTCAAGGATTTGGTGTGTCCACCAGGGAGGCATATAGACAAGAGAACCAAACTGTAGCCAGACCACCAGCTGGACTCTGAGTGTCCTCAGAATGGTGGTTCCACATGTCAGGGTCTCAGTTCCCTGTCTCCTAGTGCAGGAAGGACAGTTTTCTCCTCCCAGAACACTAGTGAGAATCCAGTGAAATTAGTCCAGGACGGTGCCTGACACAGGCAAGCATCAGATGGTGGAGGGAAATCTGGCCACGGAAATGTGCAAAATCAGGCTTGAGGATGCTTTCCCAGCCCCTTGGCAAAAACAGCATTGCTTGAGACAACGACTGAGCTACAGTGACTCTGGAAATGCAATGTCATGTCTTGCCCTGTCTAAAGATCTTTTTTAACACCCTTGAAAGTGATTTCCTGTTTTGGGGAAAAAAAAAAAAAAAAGGAAAAAAAGACTGGTTGCTTAGCAACCTGATACTACAGTAACAGTATTATTGGGTTTCTCCTGGAATTTGAGATTTACAAAACCTTAATTAAACTGGTGAAGATTTTACAAGTAACATGACTGTGAAAACCACGTTTATGAGAAATGTGACTAGATCTTTCTTCTATCCTTATTCACAGAGAACAGTATAATTAATTAAGCACATGATTTCTTATCTCTAAAGAAACACATCATCTTATACATAATGTCTAGAAGTTGAAAAACTTACCCCAAGGGGGCTCAGTTGGTTGAGCATCTGACTCTTGGTTTTCAGCTCAGGTCATGATCCCAGGGGCCTGGGATCGAGCCCCGCATCTGGTTCCCTGCTCGGCGGGAAGCCTGCTTCTCCCTCTCCCACTCCCCCTGCTTGTGTTCCCTCTCTCGCTGTGTCTGTCTCTGTCAAATAAATAAATAAATAAAATCTTTAAATAATAATAATAATGATAATATCTATGACTTGATATCTGCTAGTATTTTTTAAAACCTACCAATGGGGCCAATGTATAGATTTAAAAGTAAATGTAATCTAATTAAGTCCAAACTTGGACTCTAACATTTAAGCGAATTTTAGGGGTTCCTGCTATATTTAACAGAGGATTTACATGTAATTAGCTTGAACGATTTCCATTTGGTTAAAAAGTCTTCAAAATTTATTTTCTTAAGCAGATTAAGTATGTTTCACAAAATCTTTATTATGCTTCTAGTATATTCCTACTGTATTCATGGGCAGTATAAAGCTATTCCTCACACCGTCCAGACTAGAGTGGTTCCGAATTATGTGCTTTCACCATAAATCAACAGTGGAAAACTAATGTAACTCCAGTGATCAGCATGTTTTTGAGATGAAACATGTTGTTAAACCTGTTTTCTTATCGAGAACAAATGTGTAGCTTCTGCCTCCCCTGATTTTAGAGATTTCAGGGGGTTCATTTTGTTAGGACTGTTTTCTGAGAGCTGTTCTATGAGAATCTGCAGGCACTAAACTCGGGACTAATTTAAGAGTGAGGCTTATTTTATTAATTTTTTTTATTTGAGTGTGGTTGACACACAACGTTACATTAGTTTCAGGGGTCGGACATAATGCAAAACAGTATGGAGGTTTCTTTAAAAAAATGAAAATAGAATTACCATATGATTCAGTAATTCCACTACTGGGTATTTACCCAAAGAAAACAAAAACACTTATCTGAAAAGACATATGCACTCTTATGTTTATAGCTGCATTATTTGCAATAACCAAGAGAAGGAAGCAACCTAAGTGTCCACTGACAGATGAATGGATGGAGAAGATGTGGGGTGGGGTGTGTGTGTGTGTGGGGGGGTAGAATATTGCACAACCGTTAAAAAGGATGAGATCATGCAGTTTGTGACATGAGTGAAGCTCATTTTATATCAGAGAGCTCCTGAGATCTTGTAGAAACTTCTGGCTTGAGTGTTCTGAAGGGATTGTGACTCTTCACAATTTGAGAGAAAATGTGTTTGGAAAAAAATTCTGATTTTTGAGCCACTGTTCCCAGTGAGGGGAAATTATTGTGCATAAGTACATCATAAATCAGTCAAGAGTTTATCATCTTTTTCTCTATGGTTCCTGCTCTTCTCTTTTATTGTTCAAAAAAATTTGTGATGAATTTTAAGTTAAAGAGAAGTAAAGTAGACTAATTCTATAGTTACTAAATTTGAGGCATCGGAACTCAAACATAGATGATTTTGGGGGAACCTTTTAGAACGATTTGTTAACTACATGTAGAAGTAGTGGTTCAGTTTGAAAAAGTTAGGAGAAAAATAAATATGAAGGAATTCACTAAAATAATTCAGAAGTAAAAATGTTTACCCTAAAACTCACAAGCCAATATGTTGTCTTTTATATGATCTCTCCCCTCATTGATTGACAGCATTTTGTTAATAGGCTTCCTTGTTCTAAGAGGAAACCAAACACCCCTCCTGCCTGCATGATTTGCTGTGTCCTGGTCCAAGTTCATTGCCTCCCACTCAACCTTGACTAGGACTCCTGTTACAATAAACTCCCTCCTCCCCCAAATTATATGGTTTGAATACAAAGGTGACCATCCTGCACCATTTTTTAGAAAGATTTTATTTATTTATTTGAGAGAGAGCAAGTAAGAAAGTGAGAGAGCACGAGCTGGGGCAGAGCGAAAAGCAGGCTCCCCACTGAGCAGGGAGCCCGATGCGGGACTCGATCCCAGGACCCTGAGGTCATGACCTGAGCCGAAGGCAGACGCTTAACCGACTGAGCTGCTCAGGCAACCCCATCCTGCATAATTTTTTTTCCTTTGGAGGAAGGCAGAGAGGAGAGAGAGGAATAGGACCATAGGAGTGTTTGGGATACTGCTTCACAAAAGTAACTACGTAAGTTCAAGTTATCCTCATACTGGGGAGAAAAAAACCATGCTTTTACAAAAATGCTGGGTTAACTGTTATGACAGTAGTCCTTCTGAGGATCAGTGTGACTGAAATCACACGTCTGTTACTTCTTGCTGTAGTGCATCAGAATTCTGTGGGATGGCCGTTGGATGTCAGATTTCTGGGGGCTCCGAGATTCCAGTGACGGAAGTCTGGTGTGGAGCCGGGGAATCTGCATTGTTAACAACCACACAGTGCTTTGGATGCCACAATGCTGGGCACTGTATCTTGAGCACAGGCCAAGGCAAGATCTCTACTGCTCTCGCTTCAAAAGATATCATGTAGAATCTTAGTGAAAAACCATGCTTTTAGTTTAAATTTCTCAGATAATACTATTAAGGGGAAAAAATGTCCTTTAGTTGGAATCGAGTAGGAGGCCATGAATGTAGCCCCTTGTTTGAACAAATCCGGCAGCCTGGCACTTAATAGGTGAATGAATGTTAACGAAT